CATAATGCCTTCCAGCCCCAACCATGGTAGCATGCAGCAAGACTTCATGTCTCCTGCCGGCTGATTAGGGGGGCACATTCTGTTACCCATTCATCTGCTGCGGTGCGTGTATTGTTTCCACTTTTAGGCTGCTGTGAGCAGGGCTGCACAGAACCAAGATGTCCAAGATCTCTCTGCATCGCTGCTTTTGAGTCTGTGGGGCACGCGGGGCGGATGGTAGGTCTACCTCTGGTTGTAGTTTTGAGGCACTGCCACCGTGCGTCTCCGGCAATGGGTAGGGTGCGTTTGCTTTCGACCGCCATTAATCAGAGCAACAATTTACTATTGACTGAGTGTACACAACCTGCCAAATCTGGTCCAACGGGTTCTATGTATCTGATACCCACATTGTCCACGAGGTAGGGATGAAATCCCATTAGGCAGATCAAGACACTGGAATAAGGTCAAGGTCACCAAGCTCAGCGTTCACGAAGGCCCAAGATCCACTGGAATGCCACAAGTGAGTGACAGTTTGCTAAGCTTGTAAGCCTCTGGGGGCTTATGGTGGTAGGCGGAGCCTGGAGCTGCTAAATGCCTCCCCACATTTATCCCAGGATTCTACACAGATATCGTTTTCAATGTGTTTGAAGACATAAAAACATAGAGCAACATAAATGTTGCTAATAAATACATTTTAAAGAAGTTATTTTCTTAGGGTTAATCCCCCCCTTCTTTTTTGTATTTTATATTGAAACCCAAACATGTGGGACGTTAAAAACGATGGAGCATATCCGTTTCCGTCCCATCCCCACTGCCATCAGGTGAATTCCAAGCTACAGCGGCACCCTGGTTAGCAGCCAATGCCTAAGCTAAGGTGCCACCAGGCTCCTCGTTTCAGTGTGGTTAGGTGCGGTCTGTTCCACTTCACAGAATCAAATATTAGTGTCTGGAAGTGGGTATCATTTATAAAATGTCATTCATTCGTCACAGTGAACAGCCACCACATGCTAGACACTGTACTAGGCACAGAGGAAAAACATAGCTGAGAGTCTATAATATTACACAGACACACACGAATACAATGGCCTCCTGCTTACGTGCAGGGTTGGTGAGCACCAAGTGCTCTCTGGAGAGAGCTGAGGCTGCCTGCTCCCTTGCCCACACCCTGTCTGAGGGCACTGTGAGTCGGCACCGACTCCGTGGCGGTCGAGTACCTCTATGGAGGGAGCCTTGTGATGCTGTGGTTGAGGCCTGGCTGCTAACCGAAATGTCAGTGGTTCAGACCCACCATTTGCTCCATGAAGAAGGATGAGGCCGTCTGCTCCTGGAAAGATCCTGGCCGGGGGTCACTATAGGGACTGGAAACAACAGCAACAAGTCCTTCTGTTTGTGCCCGGAAGGAGCCATGGTTCCAGCACTGCTCCGCACACTGCAACGTGCACAGGCACGAGCGAGAGGACTAGTCAGGACAGCGGCTCTGGGCCCCACCACGGTATTCCGATTCAGCAGGTATGGGGTAGGACTCAAGGCTGTGCGGTTCTAACGTGTTCCAAGGTGATGGCGACGTGCCCTCGGAGGACCACAGCTGATGACATGGGCTGGGGCTGCTATGTAACCCTCAGAACCAACTCGGTGGCCCCTCACAACCACCACCTCACAGGGCAGGTCTGATTATTCCTAGTTCACAGAATTTTTAAAACGGCTGGTCAAACTGTTCAGGCCAATGCTTTGGAACACGTAAAGCTGGTAAGACTTCCCCAGAAGGCTTATTACAAGTGTGGATTCCTAAGTGGCAAGTTTGGGATGGGGCTGGAGACTGCCCTTTAGCCAAGGTCCCCATGAGACTGATGTGGCATCTCAAGTTGGCACGAGTCCTGGGCGAAGCACGACATCAAGTCTCCACAGTCATCCAGTGGCAGCAGGCCTTTAATGAACGAGGAAATGATAACTGTCCAAAGCCCGACACAGGCGATTTGGTCTTCTTATGACACTGCTAGTGGCTATCACACCAAGCACTTAAGAGCTAAAATGGAACAACCAACTGTACAACCAGTATTCTCCTAATTGGTTCACTGGAACCTTATTATGACATAGCGTTCTAACACTACTGATAAAAATAGCTCTAAATGATCTTACACCTGTAAGTTAAATCGCTCATGTTAAAGGTTGCATTATAAGAGAAAAGAGAAAGAATCTCACAGATATAATATAATCCTGACTTTATCTTTCCAAGACACAATACCACAGAGTCATCTGTATGTGTTACAAACAAATCCTGGGCAGGAAATAAGCTCGTAATAATAAAAGTCTACTTCCCGTGTGAGCTCATATCCACTGACAGCATCTCAGCACTTCGAACATAATGCATCCCAAGCTACATTCCAGAACACGCCTCCCTGACAGCCTCCATTCTTCATCCTCCTGAATCGGACCAAAGAACTCTAGCGGAGCTGTGGTTTAATGTTGGGCAATTAACTGCAAGGTCAGAGGTTCTTCTTCCATGTGGGCTTTGTTGCTTCTCAGCTAGATGGCTACTTTTTGACCTTGAAGCTATTAAGGCCCCAGACGCTATATCTTTTGATAGCTGGGCACCATCAGCTTTCTTCACCACCTTTGTTTATGCACACATTTGTCTTCAGTGATCATATTGGGAGGGTGGGCACACAATGATATGCTTTTTTTGTTCTTTTATGCTTGGTGCCTGATCCCTTCGACACCTCGCAATCACACAGCCTGGTGTGCTTCTTCCATGTGGGCTTTGTTGCTTCTGAGCCAGATGGCCGCTTGTTTACCTTCAAATCTTTAATACCCTAGACCAGGTGTCCTCAAAACTACAGCCTGCGGGCCACATGCGGGCCCGCTGAGGACGTTTATCCAGCCCGCCAGTTTTTTACTTCAAAATAAGATATGTGTAGTGTGCATAGGAATTTGTTCATAGTTGTTTTTTTTTAAACTATAGTCCGGCCCTCCAACGGGTCTGAGGGACAGTGAACTGGCCCCCCTTTTAAAATGTTTGAGGACCCCTGCCGTAGACGCTCTATCTTTTGATAGCCAGGCTCCATCAGCTTTCTTCACCACATTTGCTTATGGACCCATTTGTCTTCAGTGATCGTGTCGGGAAGGTGAGCCAATTTAATAGAACAAAGTGTTCTTGCATTGAGGGAGTACTTGAGGGGAGGCCCAATGAGGTCAGAGGTTCTAACCCACCAGCTGCTCCATGGAAGAGAAGGTGTCTGCTCTTAGAAAGATTTATACCCTCAAGAGCCCTGTATGGGATCACTAGGAATCAGAATCAACTCAATGGCAATCCATGACCATGCATATTCTATATTTTAAAAACTCTAGGCATGTTTAATCCCACCCACCACCCAAGCCTTTTCTTTTTCACCTGTTTCCATTAATGATCCCCTGATCGGCTGCGGCACGCAGTTGAAATCTTTGCCCTCTCTGACCACGCTATCATTATCTCACCACACATCATATGAAATCAATTCTTCCGTGCGATTTTCCTTCTCATCCCCACTGAGACCACCCTGCTTCGAGGCCGTGCTAAGCCCAACTGGCCTCAACCAGTACTTGCAGCAAAATCACGGTTTCATCATCAGGAGACTTCTCAGCGGCTGAAGAGGGCTGAGGATGCAATAACTTCCCTTGCCTGGCTACCTCCAACCTGGGGTCACTTGTCATGTGTGATCAGACTTCTCTTCCTTCCAGAAAAGATTCCTCTAACCTTTCCTACAATGGTCGCCGTCGGGTGTCCATTGGTGGGTTCTGATTCACAGCGATCCTGCGTACAACAGAAGGAAACCCCGCCCTCTCTGGGCCATTCTCACAGTCGTTCCTAAGCTTCAGCCCACTGTTCCAGCCACAATGTCAACCAATCTCACTGAGCCTCTTTCCCTTTTCTGATAACTCTGCAAGCATGCTGTCCTTCTCCAGGGACTGACCCTTCTCGATAACCTGTCCAAAGTAGGGGAGACTGCATCCCCACATCCAGCATGGTGGGTGCCTCTGTACTCCCACAGCAATCGCCTATGGAACGAATGAAGAGTACGCTGCACCCTGCTACCCTCGCACAGAGCTTTGCTGCACTGTGTTGTCAGTGCTATCCAGGCAGCTCTGACTCAGTGACCCTGCTACACGCAACTGAAGGAAACAGTGCCTGGTCCCCCACCTTACTCAACTGCCACAGGTGAGCCCAGTGGCTGCAGGCACGGCGTCACTTGATCTTGTTGAGGGTCTTCATCTTTTTTTCCACTGACCCTCCACCTAGCAGCCTGTCCTTCTGCAGAGTGAGTTTCTCCTGATAGCAAATCCGAAGAACCTGGGATGGAGTCTCATTACCCTCACTTCTAAGGAAGCTTCTCACTCGACTTCCTCCCTGACAAGTTGATGTGTTGTCCTGGCAGTCATGGTACTCCTTTCAATGTTCTTTGACAATATCATCATTCAAATGCATCAACTTCTGTGGTCTGCCTTATTGAGTGTCCAGCCATATCAGCATTTACTCAAAATGTAAAAGAAAAAAAAACAAAAAAACCCAGACTTAAACCAAACCCATTGCCCCCCCAATGGATCCCAAGTCATAGCAATCCTATGCAGGGTTTCCAGACGAATCTTTATGGCACACTGCCTCATCTTTCTCCCAGTGTGGCTGGCGGGTGGGTTTGAACGATCGACCTTTCGGTTAGCAGCCCAATGGGTTACCCGCCGCGCCACCGGGGACAAATAACATTGGCAATAATAATAGCTTCAAAACAAAACCTTCAGTTTGGGAGCCTGGATAAACCAGGAAGACGATGATACACGACGTGCGGATCTGGGCAACAGATCTGGAATGTCATCGTACCCAACCTCGGGAAAATCATTTTATTTCTGGGATTTCTCCCCCCTCCTATTTACTGCAAGGTCTCTCTGCTCGCGCGCACGCCAGGAAGCAGGGGGTCGTGTAGACATTACTGGGCGGGCAAGGGCGAGGGTTTGCCCGTGCCCTGCGGGGCCCACAGGCCGACATGCGTTACCTGAACGTTCCGGGCGACGCAGCAAGTGGCAGCGCCGCCGCCGCCGCCCCCCGCGCGCGCCCAGAAGACAGAGGGAGGCGGGAGAGCGGGGCACGCGGCGCGAGGGCCGAGAGCCGCGGAAGCACCGCCGCCATGCTCCTCGCTCTCCGAAGGCAGGGCCCAGCGCGTCCCTCTGCGAAACACGCCCCGCGCGCTCTTCCGCCCCGTCCCGGGCGTTCCTCCTCTTGATGTTCCGGCGGACAACGCGGCCCGGAACCTTCGTTCCGGCGTCGTCGCGTTCCGGGACGCTGCCCAGAGCCTCAGGCCGCCCCGCCCCGCCCCGCCCTCCGCGGGCCGCCTGCCAGGCTCGAACCCGTGTCCGTGCTCAGCGAGTTTTCGTCGGTCGGAGAAGGGTGGCCAGCTGTGAGCCCAGTAAGATGCGGCGGAGAACTGGGCGCTTTGAGCGTTTGGGGAAGAGAAGTCCCAGCCCCCCAAGAAATAAAATTGCCTACCATAGGGCATGCTGCCCAAGACATTCGTTTTTCTTTTCTTTTCAGTGTCCGCGCTGATGCACGAAGCATGAGGCATAAACAGTATGTTTACGTTTTCAAAACTATATATATATTATATATTATATATATAAAGACGGTCTATCTATTATCTACCTATCTATCTATCTATCTATCTATCTATCTATCTATCTATCTATCTATCTAATCTATCTATCTATCTATCATCTATCCTATGTATGTCAGAGATAAACTGGGCTGTCTCCTGCCCCTTGTGAAGGGAGGTGATGGGGCCCCGAAGCCATGAGGGCACCCACATCTGGAAGTGTCTGAAAACACATCGCAAAGGAAAATACTGGCTAATGGTCAGGAAGGAACCTCCGGCCAGAATTCCAGACTGGAGAGCTGCGTGTTGGCATCACAGCTTTTCACGCCCTTTCCAAAGCAGAAGCAAGATAGAGAAGACTTATTTCGTGTGGAGAAAACGCAGTTCTTGCTAAGATCCACTGTTAGGTGCCGTCTGGCTCATTTCCACTAACTTATTGCCACCCCAGGAGACAATGAAACTGTCCCCTGGGGGTTTCTTGGCTGTAAGCTTTACAGAGACAGTGCGCCAGGACTTCCTGCCGTGGCACTGCTGGGTGGGTTTGACCAACCGACCTCTCTGTTAGCAGCTGAGCTTTTAACCATGAGTAGCCCTGCAGAATCTTCGAGTCCGAATGCTCCACACAGCGCTTGGAGGTGCTTCTTTTGCTCCCCTGCCTTTCATCAGCATTTTTGTTGAAGGGTTCTTTACAGACACACAGAAAACTTCATGAATCGTTCAGTGTACTTACATGAGGAGTCCTCATGTGCAGGACCTTGCCTACTTTTCTACACAGTGCTTGCGACTGT